GCTCTCCAAGACGCACCAATAGGACCCCAAGAGCGCTTTAAGACGGCCCAGGAGGTCCCCTTAAGGGTGCTTGAGAGGCTTCCGAAAAGGTGCTCGAGAAATTCGAATCTTTCACAAACTAACGGGAAATCAATATTTTTGGCCTCACAGGCCCTCAAGACGGCCCAAGAGGCCTCCCAGAAGGTCACCCAAAGGCAAAAACAGCCAAATTCCTTTTGGAAAACGTACGTGTTTAGCATATTCGCTTCTTCGGTCTTAACAGCGCCCAAGACGGACCCAAAAGCCCCCAAGACGGCCGTAAGACGACCCAAGAGGCCCCCAAGAGGGCCCCAAGACGGCCCAAGAGAGCTCCAACACGGCCCATGAGAGCCCCCCGACGGCCCACGACGGTCCCCAGAGGTTCCCGAAAGAGTCCCCAGGGAGCCCCAAGAGGGCCACAGAAGGCACCCTCGACGGCCCAAGAGGGCCCCAAGAGGGCCCCAAGACGGCCCAAGCGCCCAAGACGGTCCAAGAGGGCCCCGGGACGGGCCAAGAGGGCCTCAAAGAGCCCCAAAGAGCCCAAAAGGACCCCCAAGAAGGTCCCAAGAGGCCCCCAGAGACTCCCAAAACGCTCCCAAAACGGTCCCCGGAGGCTTCCCAGTAGTCACCCGTAAGCGTATGGGAGGTCTCGCTTCGACGTCCTGCACGAGGCTCCCAGAAAAGGCTTCAAGAGGCTCCCGATTCACGATCCATCTCAGGGCTTCAGAGGCCTCACAGAAACATGCCGCGTGGCCCACAGAAGCACCCAAGACGCCCCGAACTCACGATCCAGGTCAGGGGTGTATTCACTGCTATGGGCGGGGCGGCTGGATGCGAACGTTGGCTCTGGAACCGTCGGTGGAGCTCTCTGTTGATACGATTCGTGTGAGGAGACAGTCGACATACGCGTGGGGGGGGACGTGACGTTATGCGAATCCTCACACTAAGGCCGTACGTGAAACGACATCCCTCTGGGTCACGATTCGTGTGTTGGGTGTGCTGAGATGGGCGGAGCGACGCCGTGCGAACTTTGTCCCTGGACCCGAAAGAGGAGCTCCCAGGGGGACAAGATCCGTGTGAGTGCCGTGCCGAAATTGACGGGGGGGCGCCATGTGAACCCCGCCTTCATCTGGGGCCGTGGGTCTCGCTTCCATCCGCATGATCGGTACTTTTCCACTGGGCATTGTATTCCGTTGCATTCCACTGGGCTGCTTTCCGTTGCATGTGCAATTGCATTGTTTCGTGATCCACATTGCGTTTATGGGCATCGCTTTCCTTTGCTTTGCATTGCATTCATAGCGCTGCATGTGTTTGGCTAAACTGGCTTGCATAGCTTCGAATTGAATACTGGAGAGGCCTTACTGCCGGTGCCGCCGACCCTGAACGACGACGGCGGCGACGACGACGACGACGACCAAGAGCGACCCCCCCTGTGGAGGGGGGGACTGGCCCGTGGGGGGGGGGGCTCCCTCCTGTGAACAGGGGGAGCATGGGACGCTTGGAAGGGGGGGCAAAGCGGGGACGCTGGGGGGATGGGAGGAGAGGCTCTCTCCCCCCGGTTCTTGGGGGGCCCCCCCACCCTCCGCCACAGATTCGGGATCGGCAAAACAATAGCAGGAGCCCCACGGGCCCCAGGGCCCCCCCCGGGACCACCCCCCAGGACCACTCCCGGAGACCACCCGCCGGGACCACCCCCCGGGAGTTGCCCCGGGACCCCCCCCCGCTGGGGAAGGGATCAAGGGAAGGTGCTTCCCTTCGTTATTCGATTCGATTTCGTCTTGGCTGATCGGTTGAGGAAGAGGGCCTGGGGAACGGGGGAAGATGGCGAGGGCGACGACGACGACGACAACGACGACGGCGACGGCGACAACGACACCGACGACGACAAACGGAAGAGCGCCTCACACACGCCGACAGGGTCGGCGGATTAAGGAGCATAGCATATGTCATTGTCGGTGCTTGGGTTCTGTTCTGCCAGCATTATGGATGCTTCTTGTACCTCATGCTTACACCATCAATGGGTAATCACTTCAGTGGATACGGGACCTCCTCAAGGGATGGGGTCGGCTAGAACCTAAGCGCGCGCGAAGCGCGCGCGTTGTTCTAGTATATATATACACATAAAGGGATATTGCTTTAGATATGTATGTCCCTCGCTCGCTCTCTCTCTCTCTCCCTTTTCTCTCCCTCTTTTCACAAAACGGCCGCGGGTCTAAGTGGTCACCAGCCACAAAGGCAAGCAACCACACGCACACACAACACACATTAAACAACACACAACACATGCTGAGGCTCCTTCGGATCGTGCAAGTCTACAGGCATCATACTCCATGGGAGTATGTCTACGGTATGTTCAGATGTTGTGATGTTTTTCTTGGGAGTGCTATACTGCTTTTTGTTTTGTTGTTGAGGGCCATATGTTTCCGAACTCCCCGTCTAGACCGAGTATCCACGGGGACATCAGCCAACATCAAATAACCAGCACAACATTACATCAACAATTGTGGAGACTCTTTACATGTCTTAGAACAGCTGAGTAAACTACAATAGAAACATATGTGGATTCGATTGGTCGATGTTCCAGATAATGCTGACTCTCTGTGTTTTATTTGTTGTTAGGTGTTCGTTGTTTTTTGTGTGTGCGTGTGTGGGTGGGGGCTCCATGTCTCCAGACGAGACTTCGTATTTTTCTTTCCCTCCTCATCATCATCAGCGTCGTCCGAAGCCAATTTGGCCCAAGATGCTCTGGCAAATGCTGAAGTTCATCCAGCCTGAAGTGGCCATGCTATTGCTGCGCATTCCTTTCTTGCTGCCAGTTGTTGCGCATGCAGTGGGTGCAATCGACACGGGTACCTCCTGGCAGCCAAGCTGTGAAACACAGTGCTCAACCACCGAGGAGTTCATCTTTCTGCAAAGCAGGATGTACCTTTTCCAGCGTTGAGGGACACGTGGGGCAGATCCCCGAGCAATGGAAAGTCAATGAAACAATGTAAGGTCTGTGTAGAACCATGCGAGACTACACTGATACTGTATCAGTGTTGGAGGCCTTCCTGAGAAGTTGCAGCCAAAGCAGAAAATACATACAGGCTACGGAGTTCGTCGTACAATTTTTACATAGCAACTCTCCAGTTGCAAGATTGGGAAAGTGCCTATGAGAACCATTGTCGTGAGCTTCAAGGGATCGAACTGTGTTTTCGTTGTCGGGGTATCGTCCAGATTGGCGAACAAATCGCAGAACGCGACTTGAACTATGCAAGTTTTGCGGCGTTGATCTTCTCGGTCGCATTCACCAAGGATGGCTCAAGTATGACAATCGCGTAAGTGAGATTGGGTTCGCTGATCGCACCAACTCAATCGCCAACGAAACTCTTGCGCTTGGTAGTATTATCTCGGTGGAGTTCTCGCAACGATAGCAGCTGCATATTCAAAGTTCCGGATGAAGCTGAATGCAGCGCACCACTTCTACATTTTTCGAACGCATCGCGGTGGATATTATGATTTTGCTAGCGCAGTGACCTGCAGTTATGATGCATGGTGCAGTTTGCATTACAAGGGTCTTGTACTTGTTGGATATTTGGGATGGTGTTGGTGTTGCTCGTAGAGTGGAGATCAAGGTCGATCTTGCAAGCACTTTGCAGAATATTGCGAAGACCTTGCTGGCCAAGAAGTTTGGTACGGTAAGGGTCAAAGGGCTCAAGCATGCTTCTCCCGACACTCTTGGTGATCGCCAGAAATTGCGCGCCTACCCGTGATGTCGAGCACAAGTGCCAGACGTGTCATGAGAGTTTTTTTTGTTGGCAGCAGTGTTGGGGGCTGCGAGTTCGATGATCGCTATTGGGGTATTGGGCAATGCTGCACATGGAGTGACGACTCTAGTAACTCTAGTCGCAGTCGGTCTTGATGACGTTTGCCAGGGTGCTAGCGACGCAAATCATTGGATGTTCTGGGTTGGGCCAGACTGCCCACATGATGCTGGTGTAAAGATATGCAGGGCCGTGTTAACCAGAAGCTGCCAGCGAGAGGGCACATGAAATTTGGCGAAGGAGTCGGCCGAGCAGTCCCACAAGATGTCTAGGTATGTCCGAATTCAGAGGTGCTCCGTGTAAGCATACAGGGCATTCGCCTTCAATTGAGTTCAGCACCCTAGGAATGCCTGATGCTTTTGTTCTTGAGCATTACCAAACGTTATGAACTCCCATGGCGCGTAAGATGTTTATGTAAGCGCCACTGCGCGCCAGCAGCTCCCGTCGGATCGGGCTCCCCCCGAGCTTCTGTTCTGATCTTCTCAGCCTCGTCCCTTCTTCTCCCTCTCCTCATCGCCCCTCCTCCTCATCATCTTTCATCGGGGGAGCCAAGAAGAGGCGCATGAGGTAGGGGGTGTGGGGGAAGGAGGAGGAGGAGGAGCACAAGGATTCCTTCACCAACTACTCATCCTTCTCCTCCTCCCCCTCCTCCTCCCCAGCCTCCTGCTCCCCCTCCTCCTCCTCCTCCTCCTCCTCCTCCTCCTCCCATATTTCTCTCTGTCTCTCTCTTGTTGGCGTTTCTCTTTTTTTGTTTTCTCTCTCTCTCTCTGTCTTTCTCTGCCCCTCGCTCGTCATACCCCTATTGCTGGGCAGGGGGCGCCCCTCACATCCCCTCACCTCCACGCCTTCCTCTGCCCTTCCAGGCCCTCTCTGGACTCTGATCCTCCTGGGTGCCCCCTGGGCCTCTCGGACCTCCTCGTCACCAACGTTGAGCGCCTAGGAGGAGGAGGAGGAGGAGGAGGAGGAGGAGGAGGAGGAGGAGGTGGAGGAGGAGGAGGAGGAGGTGGAGGTGGAGGAGGAGGAGGAGGTGGAGGACGACCAGGACGGGCTACCTGATAGCGCAACAGCGCGCCAAAGATGCCGCGCCGACGGCCGAAAAAGGCCAAAGGAAGACCGCCAGGACTGGCTAGAAGCCATCAAAGACGACCAGGCAGGCACCAAGAGGCGCACGAGGGACCCCACAGAAGAGGCGCCAGGCAGCCAAAGATATTCCCAACTGACGTGTTGCAGCGCTCATTCCTTCGAAGGTTGCCCAGCCTGAGGACTCAGGGCTGAGGACGGCCCAGAAGTGGCCTAAGAAGTTGTCATTCCGTAGCCACTTGGCTCAAGCGGGTTCGGCTCAAGCCTTTGGGGCTGGCAACATCCTTCCGAAGGAGTCCGCAGCAAACTAAGGAAGTTATGAAGCGCGGGCGTGCGGGCAATGCTGCCAAGCTCAAGATGTCCGTCGGTTGCCAGGTCGCTACGCTGATGAATTGTGCCGACAACAGTGGCGCCAAGAACCTTTACATCATGGCGGTGAAGGGCATCGGCGGTCGCCTAAACATTCTGCCGAGAGGCGGTCCTGGTGACATGGTGCTCTGCACGTGCAAGAAGGGGAAGCCCGAGCTGCGCAAGAAGGTGCTGAAGGGAGTGATCATCCGCCAGAAGAAGGCGTGGCGCCGCTCGGACGGCGTCTTCATCTACTTCGAGGACAACGCCGGCGTCATCGTGAACGACAAGGGCGAGATGAAGGGCTCGGCCATCCAGGGCCCCGTCGCGAAGGAGTGCGCCGAGATCTGGCCGAAGATCGCATCGGCCGCCCCGGCCATCTGCTGAGGGGGGCGCACGGCCAAGGGCGGCGGAGAAGAAGAACGCCAGCCAGAGGAAACCCTGAGAAAAAGCTCAAGAGGGGCCCGCAGGGCAACCACAAGAGGGCCCCGAGGGACCCCCGACAACCCAAGAGGGCCGCGAGGTTCAAGTGAAGAAAATCTACCGTTACCACTGCCCTCCCCTCGTCGCAACGGCTGGATTCGCTTCGAACTTCTGGCCAGAACGCACCCAAGGAGAGGCCCAGGGAGTAGCGGTAATTGTGGGTATCCAGCTGCGTACGGCAACTCCCGCCAACCTGCCTAGGTTGTGGGTAATAAGCCTAGTGGATGTTCGTTGAAATCTCGTGGGATGCCTCTCGGGGCCTCTTGGAGGCAGTTTTGAGGCCTCGTGGAGGCCGTTCTGGGGCCTCTTGGGGGCCTCTGGAGGCCTCTTGGGGGCCTCTTGGGGGTAACTTCGGCGCCTCTTGGGCGCCTCTTGTGGCCTCCTGGGGGCCCCTTGGGGCGGAAGGCTCGGATTTTTGGTTCGTGTTCCCTCTCCAGGCCCCTTTGGGGGCCGTCTTGGGGCCCCGTTGGGGGCCGTCTTGGGCGCCTCTTGGAGCGCTCTTAGGCCGTCTTGGGGCCCTTTTGGAGGCCTCTTGGGCTGTTTCTGGTCTTGGGGGCCTCTTGGGCCGTCTTGGCGCGTCGGAAAGCTGAAAGGCGAGAATGCCCAACTCCTGCAAAAACCAAGGGGAAATCAATGATTGTCGCCTTTGGGGGGCCTCTTGGAGGCCTCTTGGGGCGCCTTGGAAGCTTCTTGCGCCATCTTGAGGCCATCTTGGGCGTCTTCAAGGTCGTTCGGCGACTCGGGGCCCTCGAAGCCTTGGAGAGCCCCAGGGAGGCGCCATGGCCGCCCAGGGACCCTCCAGGAGTATGGCGGGTGCGCGCGGCGAGGTGCGGCGGGGAGAGGAGGAGGAGCCCTTTAGAAGATTACAGAAGCCCTCAGAAGAATAGAGAAACCCTTAGAAGGCCTCTTAGAAGATCAGAGGAACCCTGCCGGACAGCTCTTGGCGTTCTAGCGCGCCTCAACGTGCCAGTGGGGCACGGTGGCAGATCGCTTGGTTCTCTCAGAGGTGGGCCCTGGATGCACCACGAGATCCGAAACGTGGCCCGAGCTCTCCCCCACAGCAGCAGCAGAGCCGGCAGCAGCGAAGCCCAGCGGCAGCAGGGCCAGCAGCAGCAGCAGCAGCAGCAGCAGCAGCAGCAGCAGCTGGGTGCAGCCGGCACCAGCAGCAGGCGTGCCAGCCTGCCCGAGAGTCCGCAAGAAGGTCACCGAGAGATCGGGCGGCGGCCCGGCTCGGGGGCCCAAGGGACTTCCCAGAGGGACCAGCAGCACTGGCCGGCCGCAGCAGAGCCAGGGTCGGCCACGCGCGGAGGGGGGTGGGGTGAGGGGTGCGGGCTTCTGAGAAGCACCCCTGCTTCTCCGAAGGCGCGGGCCTTCTCTATCTCCATGTGAGGCCGGCGCCTTCCAAGAAGCAGCCCCCTGCTAAGAAGCCCCCCCTCCCCCCTACCCCCCTTCTGCGCGCCGCCAACAGGGGGCGAAGACTGCGCTCGGACGGTCCAAGGGGCCCCCTGGTCGGCTTGCAGATAGCCGTCCGAGGTCTCGTCGGTACACCGGTGGCCGCACGGGGCCCACGGAGGCGCCCCCCAAAGGCCTCGACTGGGCAAACAATCCCAGGCAACAGTGGTTCACTCGTCCAGGGTTTAGAAAAGCACCCGTCTCACACCGTCAACTTTTATTCGAATGCGTTGAGAAACGTTGATTCTGGGCATTTTGGGTCCGTCTCGCGTTTCTGCCGCGTTTCGATCCGCTGTCGACCTGGTCGCCCCCTGCCTACTGCACTCGTCGGACCGCTAGGTTCCAGCAGTCCTTGAGACTGGGCTGTCGCATTGCAAGAGCCTTACGGCCGGTTCCGCCGACCCGGAGAATAGCGCAGCCTGGGCGCAAGAGGCCGAAGGGGGACGGAGGCAAGGGACAGTGGCGGCTTCAACACGCGAACGGAAATCTACGTAGTGGCCTTCAGCCCATCCTGACGCTGCGCTTGGGTCGTTTTCCGAAGGCCTTGGGGACATTTAGGGGGCTCTCGGGGGGCTTCTCGGGGGGCTCCTGGGGACCTTTGTGGCTCACTTGGGCGCTCCTCTTGGAGGCCTCTTGGAAATCTTGGGATCATGCTGGAAGGATGGGGTTGGCTTCCAGCGACGCGGCGACAGCGCTTTGGGGGGCCCCTCTCGGGGCCATCTCGGGGATCTCTTGGGCCGCTCTTGAAGGCCTCTTGGGCCATCTTGGGCCGGTCTTCTGGAGCCTTCTTGAGCCATCTTGCACGCTCTTGCGTTGATGCGGCGCGAACGTTAAGATCAGCCGATTTGGGCTTCGCGGGCCAGTCCCGGGGCTGCGAAGACGGCCCGAGAGATCCTCAAGAGCGTCGTAGTTGTCTGAGGTTGGCCTCGAGTCTCGGGTGCTCTTACGCGCCTGGGCGCGCTGGGCGCGCTACGGGCCCCCTGGGCGGCGCCTCAGGGGCGCGGTGCCAGGGGGCCCCAGAGGCGCCGCCAGGGGGCCCCAGCGCCGATCCAAGAGCTCCGCGCAGAGCTCCGAAAGTTTGCGGGTCATGCCGGCTCTTCTGCCTCGAGGCATCTCAGGTGCCCTTCGCCACGCTGGCGCGGCCAGAGTATCAAGTCTGGTCGCTGGTGCCTCGTCGTCGGGCCCTCGCCAGCTCCAGGCCTCGGCAGGCTGCATGGGCGGAGAGGGCGATCTCCTCTCAGTCTCGGCGTGCCCTTCCCCTTCGTCGCGCATGCGCGGCCAAGGCCTCAGGTCTGCCCGCTGGTGGCCTCGCCGTCGGGCCCTCGCCATCTCTGTGTGGGGCTTTGCCTCTTCCGGCCACATCCAGCACTGAGGTTCGACCAGGAGGGGGCAGGAGGAGGAGGAGGAGGCGGAGGAGGAGGAGGAAGGGTGTTGGTGGTCTCTGCTGCTGCTTAGCTCTACCCCTGAGGCTCGGCCTGTGTTCTGGAGGCGTTCCCCCTCCCCTCTGAAAGGCCTCATCCCTCTGGCGGGTGCCCGCCGCTCACCGGTGAGGGGCACCTGTCTTGATCCGTGAGAGAGGGTTCTCCTCCTCCTCCTCCTCCTCCTCCTCCTCCTCCTCCTCCTCCCTCCGTAGCCATTTTGGCTCAAGATGCAGGTTTCCCCTGGGAACCAAGCCTATACCGCTAGTCCGCGGCTGGCAAGACTTCTTGAAGTCTGGCATCATCTCTGGTCCACCTCGCCAGCGCTCGGGTCGGTGGGTAAACGGAGGCCTTTCCCGTTCCTGTCGGCCCGATCGCCTCCAGCTTCGAAGCCATGGGCCCTGCGCGGGATGGCACGCATGTGGGCGATGGCTGTGCTGCTGGCGCTGCTGGCCGTGCCCCCTCCTCGGGCGGTTCCTCCTCGTCCTCCCGCGAGAAGTCCAGGAGCGGGGAGCGACGCCGCCGCAGGCGCAGCGGGCGCTTGTCCCGCGACCGTGCACGTGATGTGGAGGCTGAGCGCGAGGAGGCCAAGAGGGCGGCACTCGCTGCGCTCAAGGCAGAGGAGGCGGCCTTCCTGGAGGCGGAGGCAGCCTGCCCTACGCTTCCCTCGCAGCCCGCTGCGGCTCTGCACGATCCGTGGGCGGCTGCTGCTGCTGGCCTCGGTGCTGCCCCTGCGGGGTCTGGAGCACAGAGGGCGGCCCCCTGCTCGCCTGTCGGAGGCATGGCCACACCCGTCCTGGGGGAGGACCCTGCTGGGCTGGATGGCGGGCCGCCCGAGACCGCGGCTGCCATTGCCCACTTGCGGGAGTCGCTCTTTGCCGAGGTGCGCTCCAGCCAGGAGCGCCTCCTGCAGAACATGGACAAGAGCCTGGGCGGCATCCAGCGGGCGCTGGAGCGCCGCACGGCGCTCCTGGAGAGTCGGCAGGGGAAGGTCGAACGCATCCAGCAGCAGCAAGAGGAGGACATCAGGAGGCTTGAGGACGAGATGCGGCGGCGACAGAAGGAGACGGACAAGCTCATGGCGAAGCACTCTGCTGACCTGGCGCAGCTGCAGCGGGAGCTCGGCGTGGTCGCTGCGGGTGTGCCTCCACCGCCTGAGTCTTGGCCAGCATGGAGCCGTGCGATCGACCGCGCGGTCATGGTCGTCACCAGCAAGGCCCCGCTCACGCGTGCGGCGGTGGAGCTTGCCATGGCGCCCGTGCTGGGGGATGCTCAACTCACTGAGGTCCCGAAGGTCGAGGGCGACGACTTGGGCCAGCGCTTCGTGGTCAGGATGGCGGGTGACTTGGGCCTGGCAGAGCGCAGGGTGCGCAAGCTGGTGGCCACGCTGCGCGGTGGAGGCCCTGGCGGCACTTGGCGACAAGTGGCGGCCTCGACCCCGACAGGTCACACTGCGCCGCTGTCCCTCAGCAAGGACAAGAACTCGCGCCAGGTGTCCTGCGAGATCACGCTCAAGAAGATGCGGCGCGCGCTCGAGGAGGGACTCTCGAAGCGCATCTTCGTCGACCCTGTTGGTCCTGACCAGATGGAAGGCACCCTCTCGCTGGCTTGGCAGCCCCTGGCCAAGATCGCGATCGAGGGCCCTGGCCCCCCTCCGGTTGTCCAGTGGAACGCTGCCGTTCTTCGCCGTCACCAACTTCCTCGTGAGCAACTGGAGCAGCTGGTGGCGCCCGTCCTGGCCCCGTCGACGGCGGAGTGGTGCCTTTGACAAGGCTGCGGCCCGCTGGGGTCGGCGGCGGAGGGACGAGGGCGCTGCTGAGCTCGGGGGAGGGCCTAGTCGAGTCGAAGGTGATGGTGCTGCGGGAGCTGGTCTTGGGCACGGGCATGGTGATCCTGCTTGTCCGCGTGCTGCTGCGGCTGACTTCGCGCTCACTTCTGCTACGTGGAACGCTAGGGCGCTGTGCCACTTCAAGCCTGCTACAGCGAAGGCGAGGGCGAAGTTCCTTGCCAAGTTTTGGAAGCGCGACTCGGTCATTCTGGGACTTCAGGAGGTGCATGGTTCGCACATCCGTTTGACAGAGCTGCTCAAACATGTGGGTAT